GAATATTTTAGCAGGATCTTGTGGATAACCTGCGGCAGCTTCTATACCAGCAGTCGCTGCTTCACCCTGTACTTTTATGCTATAGAAACAGCTTCTTTCCTAAAACCCCATGAACCAATCCCTGCTAGCCTAAAACTTTTCTTCTGCAGCTTCCTCACCTCTCTCAGCCTTCACGGAACTGAAGAGAGTTAGGGCTTTGCTCTGGATTAGGTTTGGTTTAAGGGAACGCTGTGGCTGGTTTGATCTTCTATCCAGACCATGAAAGCTTTCTCCATATCAGCAACAAAGCTGTTTCACTTTCTTGTCACTCGTGTGTTCACTGAAGTAGCACTTATCACTTCCTTCAAGAACTCACTAAGCTTAATCATTTCCAGTTTTTGACTTTCGGTGAGAGACGTTCGACTCTTCCTTTCACTTGAACACTTAGAGGCCATTGTAGGGTTATTAATTGGCCTAATTTCTTTTTTTATTAATTAGTGTTTTTTTAGAGGGGAGGTAATTAGGTTTATTTATTTAGTTTTAAAGGCGGTACTGGAGATTGAACCCAGGACCTTGTGTATGCTAAGCATGCACTTTACCACTTGAGCTATACCCTCCCCGCTTAATTGCACTGATTTCAATATTGCTTCTCAAGGAATAGGAAGGCCTGAGGAGAGAGATAAAGATGGGGGAACGGCGGGTCGATGGAGCAGTCAGAGCACACACAGCATTTATTGATTAAGTCCGCTGTCTAATGTGGGAGCCCAAAACAATTACAAAAGTAACATCAAAGACCACTGATCACAGATCACCATAAGGAAAATGATAATAATGGAATGGAAAAGTTTGAAATATTGGGAGAATTATCCAAATGTGATACAGAGACACGAAGTGACCAAATGTCGTTGGAAAAATGGCACCGACAGGCTTGCTTGATGCAAGGCTGCCACGAAACTTTGATTTGTAAAAAAATGCAGTGTCTGCCAAGAAATGAAGTGGAGAACAATAAAATGAGGTATGCCTGTGTCTTCCTTCAGAATATCTCCAGGCGAGCCCTCTTTCCTTCCATTTCTGACTTTTAAAGATAAATTATACAAATAATTCATGCTATTTGTAGAAACTTGGAAAATGCAAAAACATATATATATATATATACACGCACACACGTGCTGTGAACTTGAGTATCCCCAAAATTCATATGTTGAAGTCCTAACCCCAATGTAACTATATTTGGGACAGGGCTTTTAGGAGGTAATTTAGATTAAATGAGGCCACAAGTGTTGAGGTCCTAATTCAATATGATTGGTGGCCTTATAAAGAGGAAGAAAAATCTCCCCACCCTGCTCCTGGCCGTGTGAGGACACAGCAAGAAGGAAGTCATCTGCAAGTCAGGAAGAGAGCTCTCACTAGAGACTGAATCAGCTGGCACCTTGATCTTGGACTTGCCAGTGTCCAGAACTAAGAGAAAATAAATTTCTGTTGTTTAAGACACCAAGCCTACGGCATTTTGTTATGGCGGCCGGAGCTGACTAATACAACAGGGAAGAAGAAGAATGATATTTTTCCAGAATCTTTTAGCCCCCCAAAAAACTGCTGTTAACATCATTTCCTTCCAGATTTTCTTCTTCCTTCTCATCCAACAACTATCTTTGCAGTCTTGTGTACTTGTCCTCCCGTGCTTTCCCCCTCCTTCCCAAATTATAACTTTTATTGGACTTAAAATGTTTTCCCTGATCAAATTCACCCAACTCTGCCTACACTTGAGGCCTTTT